AGTAGAAGGAGTTTGTTTAGAAATTGGCCAAGTTGTGGAAGGTTCCATGCCCGCGATGTTACGATAAACTGTTCTACCATCTAATGGTTGTACTGGACGGAAATTATGCGTTAAATTCGTGCCATCAATGGATTGAATACTGCGGAATGCAGCCAGCTGCAAACGAATCAAGTAAATATAGACAATTAATTATGATTGTTAGAAGGATTATGAATTCCAAGCAATTCTCTCTTTCTCTTAATATTACACTAATTGTTTTCAGAATATTGTATTTATTGACTGGTCGTTTTCAGAGTATTTATAGAATATTATTGAAACAGGTTCGATTAATCATACGTAGAATATTTAGAACGTCCTTTAGTGCGTTAAGAATATCTTAGAATACTTGAAATATTCAGAATATTGTCAGAGTATATTCTGCTAATTGAATATTCAAAATATCGTTAGAATAGATTCTACTAATTAAACTTAAAATATTTAGAATATCTTCTATCTTTAGATTTCACGCCAACGACTGAAATTCCAGTTCATTCGCTAACGTGGTTTGTCAATTTCACAACTAAGAATAGAAGTTTATTTAACCATTGAAAGAAATTACTTTCTCCGGGTAGAAGGTTTCTAATAATCAAGCTACGAAAGAAAGCGTTTGCCAAAGATGTTTGTACAATATTCGTCCACGTTCCCCGTTTTGCCTTAGACAAATATTTTGAAAGCAGCCTGCACGCCAATGAAATTTCTGTCGAAAAACTCTGTTAGATTTCGAAATACCTGCTCGTGGGAAATATGTTGAGGTTTCACGAAGTCGATCCATTGAACGATCTCGAGGCAGGGAGGTGTGGTCAATGATCCTCTATACGTGAAATAATTTTGCGCTGATGCAATGTCAGGCGCGACCAATTTCTTTAGAACGTTGTTATCACTTATTGTTATGTTGCTGTCAACTGCGATTATGTCCGGTATTTGCTGCACGATCGATTCGAATATCGGATTCGGTTCGTCCGTGGCCTGTAACAATCATTTTTCTCAATAAAATTGTTCTAGCAGGATTATAAATAGTACTTAGAAATTAGTACTTAGTACTTATATTAAGTAAATTAGTACTTAGTACTTAGTACTATTAGTAAATAGTACTTAGAAATTATTTTTCTTTATCTTCAAGCTGACGTCAAAAGTCAGTTTCTTTATCTTCAAAACTAAACATCAATCACTTTGATCCACGATTTTCTATTTTTTAAAAAAATAAACTTGCGAATATGTCAATTATCTATAAATTATTACAATATTCTTTCCATTCGAATTTATTGTAATATAAATATAGATAAAGAATTTAGTATTATTTTCTATCATTTGGAAAATGAACTGATAAATATATCAAATTTGTTCCCAATAAAATCACCAGAATGGAACATGATTGGAATATTCTTTTCATCGAAAACTAAATGAAATAATAACCATAATCAGTTGCACATAACAGTAAATCAATATAACAATACAAATAAAATTAATAAAATAAATACATCAAGTACATTTTCCACGTTTCTCTTAATAAAACTATGAAGCACCAGGTTGCAATGTTCTTTTCATTGATTAAAATCATCTTGATCTTCAAAACAGATCTCGATCGGATTCATTGAAGTGTAAGCATAGATAAGAATAGAATTTGTATAAAGTGCTTCTATTTTTAAAAAGCAAACTTTCGAAGGTATTCTTTTTTCGTTCGTTTATTTGTTCATCCCCACTCGGGCAGATCATCCGAACCGATTTAAAGAGATCCAGAATACACGGATGAAGGATTACGTACGCACAGCTAGTTAGCACCGTATGTGCGATTTACATAACTGATTTTACGTTTGGAGTGCGAACACTGGTGTATATAACTCTTACGAAAACAGATACTATGTACATATATCTATTATGGTAACGTTATAACAAGACGATTCTACCTTCTACGATTTCATTTGGAATTGCTTGAAATTTTCATTGATAGAGACTAGAGGATTTTTCGTGCAAACCCCATGAATTATTACAAATGAATAATAGATTGAAAAGATAAACATAAATAACTCTATTATAAGTATAATGTTTGTATAAACCTTATGAAAATTATTTTAAATAAGTCCATTATGCGTGAAGAATAAAAATAAACACAAGTAACATAAATAATTTTGTTATAAGTGTATATAATGTTTGTACAAATATCATATAAGAGATCTTATAAATGACTCCTATATAAACTTTTAATTAAATAAATTAATTAGAAGAAATTGGTTTCATCCACTATATATTATTACAAGTATGTATATCATATACATATTGTAATCTTCAATTCTCCACAAATGCACAAAAATTCTGAGCTAATAGTTATATACTATTTAGTCCATTAGACTAATTAAAATGTTGCACTAATGTAGTATTTCATACAAGTACAATTTTTTTCAATAAATTATTATATTTTCAATCAAACATTGTTATATACGATTTTTTAAATATTGTAATTATGAATGAAATTCACGAATTCGCTAGTTTTTCATTATGTTCCACTACATATTATTACAAGTACTGTATGTTATCATGTACATATTACTGTGATCTTCAATTCCCCACAAATGCACAAAAATTCTGAGCTAATAGTTACTATTTAGTCCATCAGACTAACTAAAATGTTGCACCAATGTAGTATTTCATACAGGTACCATTTTTTTTTCAATCAATTATTATATTTTCAATCAAACATTATTATATACGATTTTGTAACTATTGTAATTATGAATGAAATTCATTATGTTCCACCTAGATTCTACAATTTTATAAAGTTTCAAGGAATTGAAGTATTTATAATATTAAGATAAATTATCGCTTGATCCTTGATAGATTATTTCGATCTTGGTCCTAAATTAATTAGTTCGATTTAGTTATTAAATTAAGGTGATTGTTCATATGTACTATTTATATACCTGGTACAAATATCCAAGCACGGTGAGTCCATCATCTCGCTTTATGGCTTCGTCATACGAGCCATGTTCCTTCTTCCAGAAGACCACGTGCAGTTCCATAGAAAACGAATGATTGTTGATCAGATCCTCGGATCCTAGATTGTCATTTTGACCCCAATGGAAATGCAATTGTTGGAACACGTACGTGCTGTTGATAGGCCCTCCCGATATCGATGGAACGTTGGCATCGAAACTCTGGATCATCACTAGAAAAATCGATATGAATTTCTCGTGTTTGAAAAATTCATCTGACGAAATAGTTTTATTTCCCATTTTTTTCTGAAGCGCGCAATTCATCGAGGTTTCGTCTTAATTGTGGCAAAACAATGTCTATGACGTGCAATAATCAACGTTAATTTGCAACTATTCAAGGATAAGAGTTACGTTTGAGAAACGTTCAGAACAATCGGAATGACGATCGGCGCATAAAATTTTTGAGATTTTTCTGTTTTTATGGAAACGATTAAAAAAAAAAAAGAATAGAAAAATTTCTCGAGCATCCTTGTCTTTGCAAGATTGCTGGAAACTCGGTGTTGAATGCGTAATTGCTGGTTTTTATATTGATCATTAACTTTAACTTTCGAATGATTCAACATTTTGAATATTTAAACGACATGTGGATATCGCTAAAGATTAACGTAAATTACAATTATATATTTGCGTCGTGTAAATTGAAAGTTGCACATTTACGTATCCGCATTTTGAAAATTTCATTTCATGGACTTTTGTCGACATATCCACTGAATTTTATTAAGGTGTGCCATCATCAAAATTTGAACTTGATCAATATATTATCATCAAAATACCAAGTGATTTATTTATAACTAATTATTATTAGTTGCCAGATTTTTAATTGGAAGCAAGTAGATACGAGTGATAATCAACACAGTCTTAATATAATAATTTGATAATATATAAGTGATTACGACAATTAAATAATTTAATCCTGATATAATTTCTATTTATAAAGAGTTAAGCAGCATGAATCGAATTTATATTCCAACACGATATGTCTCTTTGTCTACAGAAAAATAGAAA